TTTTGTTTTTCTCCGGTACCGGGAACCGAACTCACCAGCTTGCGCTTGCCAGGCAGGCGCTTTGCTGGTGAGCTAAATCCCCAGCCCCTTCTTTGCTTTCTTTTGTTACTTACATAAATACGGATGGCTTATCACTGTGTACTTCTGCAAAAACCCTGAGTGCTCACTTTACCAGCACATGCCCGGAAGTTGGAGTGTTACATAGATAACTATGGCCTCTGTACAAGGATGATGTGCAAGTAAGTGACTGTCACACATTCAAAACAGCACAAACAAACCTTGACAACATTTAGCTTGGAAAGTAGATACTTATGAAATACTATACTCCTTCCCAAAAAAAAGACAGTGAGGAGACAATCAACTTCTAAATAAATCGCTATTCCTGAAGAAAATAGGCCAAAAAAATCAGTCAAAGATATACTACATTTTACCTGCCCATTTTTTGATTGAACCATTAATTAGGGGGAGGTCTGATTTTTTTTTCAGTTCTTTATGTATTCTACATATTAGTTTTCTGTCTGAGAAATAGCTGGGAATTTTTTTTTTCCATTCTATGGGTTTTGCTTTCACTCTGTTGGTTTCTCTTGCTGTGAGGAAAATCCTAAATTTGATAGGATCCCATTTGTTAATTCTCAGTACTATTTCCGGTGCAACAGTGGTTCTGTTCAAAAAGTCCTTGCCTACATTTATGACTTCAAGACTTCTATCTATTTTATACTCCAGCAGGCTGTTTCCATTTTAACATTTAGTTCTATTGTTGGCAACTAAGTTAGATAAAATATTATAGTCAGTCAGATAAGGCTAGGCCCTGTGGGAGAGACAAGCACCTCCTCTGTGGACCAGACCTCAAAACAAAAGATGAAACAAATGCACCCACACACTTCCCTAAGGATAAACATCAGAGACTGATATGCTAACTTAGTCTCTATCACCTTGAGAAAGCCAGGAAGAGTCACTAACCCAACCCTCTCTACAGGAAAAGCCCTTCTTCTGTGTTCAAGCCCACTCACTCATCTCCCCATTTGATCACAATTTAATCAATTTTACCTGAGCAATTGTACTTATTATCTTATTGGCTGACCACAGTTTTGTCCCACCTCAGCTCTCTTTGCAATTTCACATTTTTCCCCGCCTTAGACCCGCCTCACCTTGTGGATTTGCTCTGTAAAAATCCCTAGAAAAGGCAAGTTCCTTGGCAACCCACTCAGGACCCCTTCTGTTTCTCTCTCTTGGACAGAAGCTTTCTTTCTCCAAATAAATATATTCTACTCTTAACCTCCGTTGTTCCTCAAATTCATTCTCCAATTTTAGAGAGCACAAACTCGTACCAGACATCTAGCAGGTTGGGGGTTTCTTTCCCTCTATCACTACAATCCATTATCAGATGAATGGATAAAGAAAATGTGGTTTTCAGACACAACGGGATACTACCCTACCATAAAGAAATGTAAAACTCTGCGCCAGGCCTATAGCTCAATGGCCAAAGTGCCTGCCTGGCCAGATCCACATACTGAGTTCAATTCCCAGAACAAACAAACAAAAAAAAGATAAAACTTGAGTCATGTCATTTGTAGGAAAATAGATGCATTTTAAGATGATATCTTTACATACATTTAAAAAAAATGTGCTACAGGGCCAAGGATATGGCTCAGTGGCACAGTGCCAGCCTGGCAAGGGTGAGGTCCTGAGTTTGATTCCCAGAACCAAAAAAAAAAGTTCTACAATATTACAGTAATTTTAAGAGTTTAGTTGGGCATAGGGATATCATATTTGGGGAGCCAGATACACCACACCAGGCGACAACCATCATGCCACTGCTTTGCTGGAACATGCAGTTACTGGAATCCTGGTGGGATTAGAAACTCTCACCTTCAGTAATGAACCACAGAGGCAGAGTTTAAAATAAAAGAGGGTTTATTTTGAAAAAATAATGGGAAAGAAAGAAGAGAGCTACTCTGGGTGAACACAGTAGACGGCATCAGAAGTAAATACCCATGGATTTTTGTCTTCAGCTCACTTTTGTTTAGGACTAGCTATTTTTACCATCCCTCATGAGGGCACCTAGAAGTTGCCGGCACCTGACTGGTTCTCTGGCTGTCTCTGATCCTAACCTGAGCACCTGTCTACTTTCTTTCCGGCCACTTGATTTCTTCCTGTCCCTTTGTGATGGATAAGCGGGGTGGCTCACAGAAAGGTAACTGAGAGTTAATGATTTAGTAAAGGGGACAAATGTGTATTATATATTAAATAAGAGCCCCTCCTTGGCTGCTCCTTATCTCCTTTTCATTTTTTCAGAGGTGGGCAGGCTGGTTACCTCAGCCTTTCCTGTTCCTCACTGCATCCCTGTTTTGCCTGTGGACTCATCCTGCTAAATTCTTGTTAACTGTATTACTGGCACCTTCCCAGGTCTGGTCCCTCTGTCTAACTCTTTTTCACCCCCACATGCTTTGTCTTTTTAATTGTTGGAGTCTAACTGCAGAGGAAAAAGTTGCCTTTAGTAAAGTTTAATAAAGCTTAATGAGATCCTATTTTATCCTTTTTCCTGCCTACTGTAAGGAACACAGGCAGCAGAGACCATCATGCTTGTGTAAAGGCAACCTGGCATGGACTTTACTGTGACTGAGTTCAGAGAGTATAAGACCTTCTGCCCTGAACAAAGAGAACTGTGTCCCTTTTACAGGGATGGAGAAAAGGCAGGGGACTTTAGGCAGGAAGATCCCAAGGAACATCTGTGGTTAAAGTTTTCCAGCTATCTTGCATCTCAGTGGGCTGAATCCTGTGAAGCATTCCTTGTAAATTTTGGGTGTCTCCAGATGTCTCTAGGACTTACAAAATTGCTTGTCTTATCTCGCCTGTGTTTGTCTATGACAGCCTCAGTGCTGAGCTGAGTTCCCTATGGAGAGCAGTGCTTTGGCCAGCAAGCAGTCTGCGGGCTGGGAGAGTCAGGCCAGGTTGGAGACTTACACCTATGACACCCTGTCCCTTCAGGGCTAGACATATCAATGGAATAGTGTGCAGAAAATGCTTAAAAGGAAAGAGAAACTGGAATGTAAAAAAGGAGAAAAGAAAAGGAAAAAAATATATATACATATATACACATACATACATACACATAAGATAGTTTGCTACTAATTGCTATCAGCTCATTGAAAGGAGAGGTTTGTGCCTATATTGTTTGATCAATCCTGCATGTCTATATCTTATATATCAGCAACTACTTTGAAGATAACAATACACAATGTACTAACCATTGTCCCTCTCCTATAATCTTGTTTTGAAATTTTATGCCAGTTTCTATTGTTTTTCTTTTCTTTTAAAACAAAAAAAATTTTTAAAAAGAAACAGATGCACGTATTCTAAGCTGTCTATCCATCCCCTCGTCCTTTCTCTGCCCTGCTCTGCCCAAGAAACTCTACTTTGCAAACTGCATACGCAGATTCCTTTGCCCACTGGATTACAGATGAGGTCAGCCACCCAGAAGAACTGGAAGCAAACAAAGAGAAACCAAGCTATTTTTTTCCACTGTCCTTCAGAACAGGCTCTTCTCAATACAACTGCATGTCTCCAAACCACAAAGTCTCTCTTAAACAGCTTTGTTTCTCCTCAGATTCCAATAACGTCATCCTTTTCCCTTGGGATGGTATCAAATTTTTACATTGGGAAGAACATCCTTTATTGGTTTCCTTAAACCTGCCCAGACCTCAGTGAATAGTCTTTTCATGGAAACTCTAATGAAATCCTTGACTACTGGCTGTTATTTCATGCTAATGGCTAAACTGTCCCTCAAACTGGCAAAGCAGAGTGGCCCAGGAAACGAACCTTAAAGTGGAGCTCTTGGGACTGGATTAGTATATATGTGATGAGTGTGCATGGGTAGCTACCTTGCTGGAGTGATGTGGGACAGACACTGGGGATCAGGGGCATCTCAGCTGCATAGTATCTGTCCCCTGTGGTAGCAAGATATGGAATGAGGATAGTAGTAGGTGTTAGGAGACCAAGTGACTGTGCTAGTTAATTCCTATGACAACGAGTAATAACACAGATGCCTGAAGAGAATATAAGAAAATAAAGCTATGTAAAATGTTAAACTCCCAAGTTTAAACACATTAAATCAACAGAAATTTTGTACACTTGCCTTATAGAAATTCTTTATTTCCTATAGCTACAGGGCAAACATGCCTAATAATCACAACGTAAGGGTTAAAAAGTTGCAAAGCTAATGTAAATGTGCTGTTATGGTTGATACATTGTGTCAACCTGGGGAGTCTAGAGGTTTGGCTAAGTGACTCAGCAGTTTTATGTCCTGGGGTGCAAAGGACATGCCCTTCCTGCTCTAGGATGTTATTCATTGTGTCAGTGTGAGAAGTTTAGAAGGTTAACTATGTGAGTGCCGCCCCCTGGGTGGGGGTAGCCTGCTTACAATATAAGGGAGGGAAAGAGGCTTGCACACACTGCCATTCCCCGCCTTTTTGCCCTTGTTACTTTGCTGTCTTCTGCCGCCATGAACTATTGCCTTCTGCCATGTGCCACTCTGCCTTGGAACCAACCAAGTATGGACTGAAACCTCCACAAACTGTGAGCTAAGTAAACCTTTCCTTCCCTAATTTTCCGAGTCGGGTATTTTATCTCAGCAACCAGAGAAAAGTAACCAAGACATGTGCAACTCCACAAGACTTCTTATGTTAAAATTAGATACACTCTTGAGGCAAGAATGGTATTACAGACAGCTAAGTTAGGTATAAGTATTACAGGCAGTCAGGACTAGGCCAACATAGGAATAGAAGTTCAGAAGATAAGATACATTGCAGCTGTGGGGGAGA